CTCTGTGATTTTTGGCGTGTGAATTTCTTTTGTAGTTTCTGATTCTTGTGTGAGACTCAGGCCTTCAAGTTTAGGTCTGTCTTTTTGTGAACTTTATGTGTCTTTGTGGTTTACTTTTGGGACATGAAAATCTGGCTTGTCTAAGCATTCTGGTTCCCTCTTTTGATTTTATATTGGAGTGGCTGGAGTGCTTTTGTCTTCAGGAGTTCCCACAGAGGCCCAATTCAGGTGCGGGTCAGATGTTTTCAGGCTTTCTCCTAAGGTCTGGATTCCTCCAGGAATGATTTTGGCCTCAGGAATTTGGGGGTTGGACTGACCTGGGAGCCTGGCTCAGGAAAGATGCTGGTCTAGGGCAGCTGGTGGCGGTCCCACCAAGAGATGCAAAGGCAGATGGGGCAGGAAGAGGCCCCAAGGCCTCCTGGGGACTGCATTGAGGAGCTGGGTTGGTCTGGATGCAAAGGATCAACAAGAGGAAAGGTCAGCCCCAGTGCCCCAGAAAGAGGCTGGTGGGTGGTGCAGGCCCAGGGAAGCAGAGGGAGTTGAGGGCAGGCCAGGCCCAGAAGCAGTGCCCCTGGGGCCCAGAAAAGGCACTCCGTTGGTCTGGATGAAAAGGATCAGAGAGCAGTATTGGTTCCCCAGCTGTCTGGGGCCCTAAGACAAGGAATGGGGCAGGACCCAAACTCGGGGGAGAGAATGGCGGCAGAGATGGGAGGGTGAATGGGGCTGGGGGAGTCAAGGCGAGGAGGGTGCAATGGACTTACCCCTGAGAGAGGCCTATGGGTAGGAGTGAGGCCTGCTGTGGCTCCTGCAGGCCCAGGGAAGCAGAGGGAGGTCAGGGACAATGTTTTTAAATCACACATAATTTCGATTCTTCCCAATGTTAAATATATAAGTCACTGAAATTATTCTTTCTTTTAAAATATCTTCATACTTTCAAAGATGCAATGAAGGGCTAGAGAGATGGCTCAGTGGTTAAGAGCACTGGCTGCTCTTCTAGAGGACCTGGGTTTGGTTCCTAGCCCCCACACTGCAGCTAACAACTGTCTCTAGCTCCAGTTACAGGGGATCTGATGCCCTCTTCTGGCCTCTGTAGGCATCACATGAAACCAGTGCATTCACATACAGGCAAGCAAAACACTCATAATACACGTAAAATGAAAAATAAAGATACAATGAATGCATGCATCAGAACTTACCTTGTGTTTAAATTTATTAGAGTTCTTGTTCTCTTTCTTGTTGAGGTCAATGAAATAGTGTGTGATGCGGTCCTTTGATTTTGAATCCATTTCCCATGAAATCTTGAATGAGTCGCATGTAATGTTGCTTATTTTAATGTTATGTGGAACAGGAAGTTCTTCCATTTCTGCTATGCCACTGTCTTGTGATTTGTTACCTGCCAGGAAATAATGCAGAGAAAATTAGCTTCTAATGAATGGGTATTTCCAGTTTTCAGTCTTTAGTGGTATACTTATCTCTGAACTCAACTATCTAAGTACCACATCTGGGATTCCATTTTGTTCATGAAATAATTTGAATGTTAATGATACTAAGAGGTGTTTACAAGGTCATATTATCAATGAAAAACACAAGTGACTCAGTCCTATGACTTTAAATTTACTTTCCATTTCTCAATTTTGCTTTACAGATGAACACAAAAACAACAATGATCTAGCTTATGTATATGAGATTAGTCTTATATGGCAAAGTTCCCTCTCAGACGCCTAAGGGACATTTTTTTCCTACATGACCAGTTAGTGCCTATCTTGAGTAGGGCAGGCATTTTAGCCCAGATGACATCATAGAAATGCCAAGAGTGGTCCAGTCCACTGAAGGAGATGCTCATGAATGCACATGCGGCTATAGCTATAGTTCCTACTCTTCCACTTTGAAGCATTAGTGAACCTGTGTAATGGTTATACTTCACACGCCAATAATACTGAAGACTATTCATGTAAAATTTACTTCATCGAGGATTAATGTAGTAATCATTTCCCTGTGGTTTCTTGATAAATTTAATTTTGAGTCCTGGAAAATAAGGCTAAAAAGACAAAGGATAATTGCCACATTGATTGATCTCACAAAAATTGTGAAGACCTCTGTAAACTTCCACTTGGTGAAAATATTATCACTTTTCTAGTACTTTAAGGCAGAATATACTGACAGCAAGAAAAAAAGAAAATGGATATGTGTTTTGCCACTTAAACTTCTGCTATTATCTTATTCAGGTAAATGAAAATTATATCATAGAAAGCGTTATATTTTTTCCATTAAAATTTGAAAAAATGTTACTTTAATTAAAATGTGGAGCTCTTTAATCAAACCATATTTTACCTACTGACATAATTATGAAGCTTTTGTTATGTTATGTCAAGCATCTACACTTTTTTTTTTTTTTTTTTTTTTTTTGAGACAGGGTCTCCTTGTAGCCCCAGCTGTCCTGGAACTCACTATGTAGACCAGGCTGGCCTCGAACTCACAAAGATCCACCTGCCTCTGCCTCCCAAGTGCTGGGATTAAAGGCATGCGCCACCACGCCCGGCTGAAGCATCTACACTTTTAAGTTGTTTATCACAAGCCCAGTTCTTGACAAAATCAGCAGATCAACTACTTCTATTCAGCTTTCCCCTCTGAGTGGGGAAAGTTAGTAGCTTAATTAAAAAAAATCCTGACGTAACTTTCTTTCTCCTCACCCTCCATGAGTTACTTTCTAATGGAGATTTTGAGATATGTGACAGAAAAAAGGACTCTGCCTGGAAACACTGACAAAACGAATCAACACCACCACCATTCAGGACCCTCCCAGCAAACCCCAGTTCTTCCAAGTGTACTTCAAAGTTTGCCTTTCCTTCTTTAGTTAAGACTTCACTTTAGAGTGACTCCGACCACATCACTTTAAATGTTAAATGACTCTAACATTTGTAATTACAGTGATGATCAGTAACACTGAGTGCGGAACAAATACATTGTTTCATACACTTTTATTTATCCAAAGCGTGAAAGCTACTTTTGGAACTATTTCACAAGCAGTTCCTAACAACAACAATTGTTGGCATGCAAGATTTTAAAAACAATGGCAAATTATGCTAGGGATGCTTTACGTAAGTCTTTTCTCAGTGAACTTTACTTGCCTTATAATAAAAAGAATGATCAATTTGATCAGAACCTTTAAAAAACAGCTTTGACTCAGAGAATAAGTGTCTGTGAGATGTCCAGCCCTAAGTGACACATCTTCAATGGAACGTCTACACATAAGGCTCATGAAACATAGTGCAACAAGGAGCAGAGAGAATATTAATGCATCTCTCAACTCTCACCAGCAGAGTTTCTTCATGCAATAGATGGTGATTAACACAGAAAGTCACAAATGGCCAAAATGAGAATAAGAGACTGCAGAGCGTATGCTCCGATAAAACTCCTGTATTAAACCTCTGTCATCTCGGGCTCAGGGACCATTGTGGAAGAGGGGGCAGAAGGATTGTAAGAGCCAGAGGTGGTGGATGACCATAAGAAAACAGTTTTCCAGGCGCCTGGGAACTTGTTCATATGAACTTAGAGCAATGGTTACAGCATGTACAAGAGTCATGCAAACTCAAACAAGACAAAAACCCAGTACAGAACTGGGGAAATGGGTGGCAGGCCTCGACCTTAGCCATGGAACCAATCACTGCTGGGTGAGGGAGAGCTAGTCTTCTTTAAGGGGGTGACACTAGATAGGCTGAACAGACTCCAGTGAATGAACTCACAGTGAGGGACATGTGGGGACACACACTTGACTCCATAGGTCTTAACATATGACAGAATGCATGAAATCCAGTGGACAGGCTATGGGGGGGTACAGAAGGGGGAGAGGGTCTAAGTATAATCAAGGTGTATTATATGAACTGCATAAAAATTCAATAAAATTTTTGTTAAAAAGAAAAAAAAACATCATTGAGATAAACTTCACATACTACACGATCCATTTCACTAAAGCACACAATAGGCTTTTGGCAGATTCAGAGTTGGACATCAATCTCTCTATCAATCATAGATCATTTTTTTAATCCTGGAAGAACCACAGCCACCATCACCCCATCCCTACATTCACCCATTCCCCCTTTCCTCAGTGGTAGGCAGCAATGATGCTTCCATGTAGCTCTATTCTCCTCAGCTCCTGTAAATGGTTTACATGGTCTTCATGATCAGCTTCTCTCACTCAACATATTGCTTTCAAGGTTCATCCATGTTATACCAGACTTCATTTCTTTTTATTGCTGAATAATATTCCATTGTATGGATACACTACCTTTTATTTATCTATAGATCTGCTGATGAACATTTCCGTTTTTCCACTTTGGGTTTGTTATAAATGCCAGTGCTATGAACACTTTAGTGTACACATGTATGAATTCTCTTGAGCATATCTCTAGGAGTGGGATTAATAGATTATATAGCTAACTTACTATGAAACTGACAGACAATTTTCTAGAGAAGTTGCAGCACTTGACATTCCTTCCAGCAGTTGGGTGAGACTCTTATCAAAACTTTTTATCGGGGGCTGGAGAGATGACTCAGCTGTTAAGAGCACTGGCTGCTCTTGCAGAGGACCCGGTTCAATTCCCAGCACCCACATGGCGGCTAACAACTGTCTGTGCAACTCCAGTTCCAGGGGATCTAACACCCTCTCTGCAGGCATTACACAACACCGGTGCACTTACATACATGCAGGCCATACTCATACACATAAAAATAAAAATAAAACCTTTTTGCCATCTATCATTTATTTTTACAGCTAACCTTTGCATTTCTGTTCTCTGCCATGTGAAGTTAGAGCATGTGTCCCCTCTGGAAGACACAGCAATAAGGAACAACCTTGAGTCAAAGAGCAGCTCTTAGCAGACACTTGAACCTGCTGTGCCCTGACTGTGAACTTCACAGCCTCTAACATTCTAAGAGCTGAATTACTATAACACAAATTACCCAGCTTCATAGCAGCAAAAGTGGACTAAGACAACCTGTCAGCACCATCGAATACTGTCAGCCACTGTGCCTTATATGTAGCCACAGAAGTCCTGAAGGCTTCGTTAGGCATGTTTCCAACCCTAAATACAGTTAACCATGCTCTTATCTTCCCCCATTAACAAGGTACTCCAAATGGTTTCTGCTTTTCTTTGGCAGCTCTGGAACCAACCACTTCTCTGGGAGACACGGTTCCACTTAGTGAAGAACGGCAGTCAGACTAAACCCAAGTTCTTGGTGTGGTCAGCCATGTTAGAATGTCACTATTATAAGGGCCTCTCTGTGGCTAGAAGAGCCAGAAGCACATGCATATGTGTTGTGTGCATACTAGTGAATATCTATATTCCTGCACTCACACATAACAACATCACATATTTATACTGATGCCTCCAGTTCAATCCAACAGCACAGTTCATGGCAATATTCCTCTCTATAGCCTCTATAGGTGTTTCAGCAGTGAGAAAAATAGCTTTAATTATTCATAATATATTTACTTATTTGTTCAATATAGAATACATACAGGTAATTTCCGAACTGCCAGTTCATTCCACTTCAATATCATAATTATTTTTGTCTTTAGTAGAATAAGTAATAAAACAGTATTTTGCAAAAACTACTTGGGAATCTGAACTAGACTAACTCAAAATATTTTTACAGAAAAATATTATTAGTAAAAATACTCATGTTGAAGTATTGCTGAAGTTTCTTGATTCTTAAAAAATAAGTGAGCACTTTGAAGTCTTAGATGTGCATGCTTCAATTTTAAAATTCAGAGAGGTCAGGAATCTAGTAAATGGCCATGGTGGGTGCTTCCTGGAAGGGGAGGTAAAATGCAATGATATAAAGGGGGGAGGGCCTAACAGAGAAGGACGGGTCAAAGGGGTGGGGCGTGGGAGGACAAGGCAGAGGAGGGGTACGGGGAGGGGGACCTATACTAAAGACCTTGAGAAAGTCATATAGAAACCTACCACTATAGAAGTTACTTAAAGATTATATGTGTACGTTATAAAAAAGAGATTAACCATATGGAAAAATTATACATTCAATATCTCTACATGAGTCCATGTATATAGCTGAAGGCCTATATAACAAGAAACAGTGCCTGACAGGAGAAACCTCCCTTTGAGTTGTTGGCCAGGGTGGTCCAAGAGACTCCCCAAATTACACAGGCTATTGCTACAGTCCTTGATCGCCTCTAAAAGCTTGAAGGTAAGAGCCTATTGCTGAAGACAGGACATACTCTGGACACAGGACTTGGAGCAATGGAGCTGGAACGGATCTGGAAGTCACCTCCCTGAAGACCAGCTCTCATAGTTTTGGAGCTGCTAAGGGAGAACATCAATTGATAGTCCAACCTCAGCTTTAAGGCCTAATAACCACAATGACCAGCACAGT